GCGGGGGCTCTGGCTCCGTGCGGAATTGAGGGCGCGGCGTAGCATCCCCGAGCATCCCGGGCGGCCCCGCCTGCTGTGTGCGGAACTAGGGCTCTCGGAAAGGAACGAGCCCTACTTACAGGGTTATTTTTTAACCCGAGACCTCGATTTCCTAAGTCCCGATTCGGTTTAAAAATGACTCTTTGAAGGATTTCAGCACTGCTACTTTTGAACACCTGCTTCTGTGGGCTTTCTGCTTGGGTTTGTGTATGCAGACACATGCACAGGAGCATCAGCGAGGGAAATGGATACCTCTGGTGAAATTAGGCTTTTGTGAGAAAGTGCTACAAGACCAAAACAAAGCAAACCTTGACTTATATATTCCTGTGCTTCAGAAACAGTATCTTCCTTACAGATACAGGAGCACTGGTGTTGAAAACAAGACTTCAGATTTAGATTTTGTCTGAGAAGAAATTTGCACCCTGCAGCTGCATTTGGCATGTGGCATTTAGTGTTTCGAAATAGCTCCTTGATCTCAGAGTTCTACTGCAATGAACAGATCCTGCTCAGCTCCATACCAAGAGACATGTCTCTACCAATTTCATATGTTCACCAGCTTATGGTCATAATCTTACAAATGGAGTCATGTTAGGAAAAATCCCATTAATTTATTAATTTATTAATTAATGGGAAAATAACCCATTTGGTGTTATGTAGCTGGGTACTAACAACATTCCTTCTAGAATGGCTAGAATTTGAGACACATCTAACTATAATAAAGCAGCATTCTGCAGGTCTGCAGTAGCTTTGCAGGCAATGTGGGAGAAAGTACTTTTGCTTAAAGAGCACTAGTTTAAATGAAAAGTCGTTTGAGCAACATTTCAAATACAATCTTTCAGGTGCTCTGAGGAGTTAAATTAGTACAATCTAAGGAGCTGTTTCAGTTCACCTTGACTGAAGTTCTGGACAAATAGGTTCATTCTTTCACTCAACATAGAGCAGAAAGAAAGCATAATGCTGAGAGGTGAATTCATGTGCTGGTTATTTCACTGAGGACACAGTAACCAAAGCAAAAAAAGTCCCTAGAGATTAAAAAAAAAAGTTAAAGTAGAAAAAAGGCTGAAAGTAGAAGGTGGAAGGAAGAGGAAGAAAAGCCTTCATAGAATATTGATCTATGCTTAAAAATAATAATCAGCAATCAGTACAGCAAGGAAATGTCAGGTTAAAGCTGCTCAAATATCTGTGCAACATGAAAAGACTCTTACAGAATTCAGGTAGAATTAATCTGATGGGTCAAAACAATTTTAATATATAGTTATTTAAATTTATTTATTCAGTCTGCTCTCTAAAAAGAAATACAGGTCTCTTTCAATGATCACAGTGTCTACAGAAGTAAACTTTAAACCTGAGAGAGTCCACAGTGCAACCTTCTGGATTTCTCATATTTACTCTGACAGTGCAATTTCATGTCATAAAAATAAAGCTGTGATTTCCCCATGAAACATACTTATGCCACATATTTAGAAAAAAAAAAAAAGAGCAGCAGCAAAAGTCTGTGGTTTCTGACTGAAGGAATTTTCTTGCTGTGGGGGAGGGTGATCGGGTAGAAATTTTGACCCTGGTCCTGCAATTGGATCCATCAAGCCTGACCTTTGTGCTCCTGCAGTGCTTGCTGGAGTCAGCAGAACTATGTGTTAAGTGCAGGGATCTGTCCATGTGGAACTAACTGGGGATTTAGGACCGTCCAGTTTCCTGCTGTGGAGGGAGGATAAGTTCACCTCTGTGCAAATTCTGGTAGAGGAGCAAGATTTCCATAAGAGAAACTTAAATCTATTTTTAGACCTTCTGTTCTCTCACTCAATCCCACAGAGATCATGCTGAACACAGAGTGCTTGCCTTTCTCCAACTGAACATGCCCATTGCTGCTAAAAATCAGTGTACCCCATATTTCTCTAGTGAGAAAAACCTTACACATAGTTTGCAGTCACTGTCCAGAAACTGCTGCTGCAGCTGCTAACCCAGCCTTGAGTTGGTTTAAAAGCTGTGTCCCAGTTATGACCTCTGTCAGTTTCACGTCCATCACTGTGGAGCACAGTGGTTGTCTTCTGCTCCACCACAGATGGTTTATCTTTTGGCATCCTCTAAGTATACAGGACAGGGAGATTGGTGCGCCCCTGCAGCTCCATGCAACTGGACCATGTTCTGAAGGCACCCCTCCGCCCAGAGCTGCATCTCCTGATCAGTAGTGAGACTGCATGGGCACTCAGCGCCTTCCAGCTGGCAGGTGCACCCTGTACCACTGTCTGTGTTCAACACCAGGCTTCTCCAGCCCTCGGGAATGAGGTCAATGAGATCAATCACAGATTGATGACAGCTGGCAGGAGCTGAGACAGCTGTGTTGGCAAGTGACAGTTCATGCATTCCATAATGGACACTACTTTTAGCTGTGCTTAAGGAGACTAACCTGTAGGCACATCAGCAGCCCACTGCTCAGTTACTTTGGACGGTGACCATTGCCCTCTAGATCATTTTGCATGGTGCCTGCTCCAGCATACATGGGCTGAGAACAGCTTTTGGTTTGAGCCTTTTGAGAGACAAACTGATGTGATCATGCATAGGGAGGTACCGACTTGTTCGGTTATGTCAGGGCAATTCTAGGCACACACAAAAGCAGAACTTGAAGCATATGTGGAAATAAAAATGAAAGGACTCAGGGAATTCTCATTGCTCTGGGATTTAGACAGTTCCTGAGCAAAGCTTTTTGGAACCTCCATTGTGGTTTGCAAGATTTTGCAGCTTATGCACCTCATCCTTTGTTAGATACAGCTGTAAATCCATTTGTAGATACAATGCCTGGAACCATGTTGATCTTGAAAGTTGAACTTCAATAAGAAAGTTCACTACAGCCCACTGCTGCCTAGATGCTCCAGGGGACCCTACAGCATGAGGTGTGGGCCTAGGATCTACTTTCAAACAAGCAGGGACCTCAGGATGGATTCTACCACAGCTTTCCCACAGAGTGAATGTGCAGTAGGGAGAAGCTGTGATTGCTAAAGCCTTTAAAACTGGTAGGACCACATACCTCTAAAAAGGCTTCAGAAAGGTGACATTTTCTTTAGGGACATTAACCTGGTAGTTGTTAGGACTTCTGGTGGGAGTCAGTGCTTTGCATCCCATCAGATGAGTAAAGGAACTGAATGTTATGCATGCAGAATCTCTCAGAGGTCTGTGCAAAATTAGGCAGAGTATTTGTATTTTCTCTGTTCTGGGATGCTCTGGTTCAAGCAAGGTGCTCCAAAAATGCCTACATGACTGGGTTGTACAGGTGAACCAAGCAGAGAAAGTGTAATCTGTAGAGCGGACTTATTAATGAGTGAGTTAGTCTAAGGAATCAGACAGAATTGAGACATTATAGGCATTTCCATGGATCAGACACTTGAGCACTTTTGAAGTTTCCCAATCGAGAAGGGAAAATATATTGATAATAATCAAGTGTTTTCTAATCATGCTGAATGTCCAGGAGCAATCGTGACCTTCCACAAACCTCTTGTGTGTTCACAGTTCACAGTGGTTTCAGCAAGTTAGAAAATCAGGCTTCTTGCTGGCTATCCCCAAGATGGATTTAGATCCTTGAGTTTACAGTTTTACTATTAATAGTTTTGCTATTAAATAATTAAGAGGTCTGCTATTAAACTGCTTAGCAAAGGGCTAATGAATTTTGAGGGAGAAAAAGAAGGAATTGGTTAAATATCTTCAGTGATACTGAACGGTGTGTCAGTACCAAGATCTTGCTCACACTCGCTTATCATGCTAGTGTTTAAAGAAAAGATTTTTGGGGGTTAAAAAGCTGGCATCTCTTAGAAGCATTTTCTGTCATGCATGGTTGTTTTATGAAGACAGTGGGTATATTTCCTCATAAGGTGGAGGTGACAAGTCATCACAGGCATAGTCTTCCAGCAATTCTTCTGGCTCATCAGAGCTGTCCTCTGACCTGAAATGGAAGAGGAACAGGTGTAAAAAGAATTTAGCGAACAGAAAGCATGCAAGTAACCTACCTCAGTGCTGCATTCCATCAGTCTTATCTGGGCAAAGCACTTCCCGACTTCTTGAGAACACTAAGTTTTACTGCTATTCAACCATTTGCTGTGTACTTTTTGTGAACTACAAAAGTGTCAGAAGGTGAACTTTGTATTTATACTGCCTACGCCTGTCACACACATTGCAGAGAACTATGGATCACTCAGCAGTTTTCCAAACAGAGTAATTCTCATAATTAGAAGTTTTTCCTTACAGGAAAGAACTATATAATTTTGTTTTGTGTCCCATTAAAGCAGTTTCATACTGCTCTGTAATATCAGTGATCTTGCTTATGCCCCAAAACTTGGAAAAGACTAAGGACTAGAAGCTTGCTACAGTGGGAGAGGAGCACGTTGTGGCCAGGCGTAATCAAGAGGGAGAGCATCTGGTACCAAACTGATTCTTGCAGTGTCATAAAAATGCTGTTTGTGTGCTGACTCCTGTGTTGTGATTGTGTTTGAGTGGAAGCCTCTGGCTGTACATACAATAATGTTCTGGTCAACAGTCTCAAAGTAGTAAGATAAGCATAAAAAAAGAACATGGACAGGAGCATATATACCAGTATCTTCAAAAATAACAAGAGATTCAGTAGAATGAAAACTGAGAGGGATTCGTAAGTTAATTTAATTCGGATAAAGATGCTTTCTAGAAAAAGTATATTTCCATAGTCTTTACTCAATAAATACTGCTAACAAAAGAAAAAAAAGTTTGAAGAAGGATAACACCCTGGACTAGCTTTTGTTTTCTTTGAAACCACACATAGCACTTAAAACACTCAGAGAAGCCTGTGTCCAAACACAGTAGGGCATTTCAGGAGATGTACCTCTGATTCCTGGTATTCTCTGCAGGATAAGCAATGTAGTTCTCGTCTCCAGTGAAAGCTGGGTTATCCAGGGGGTAGTCAGAGCAGAAGAGAGCAGAGCCCAGGGTGGGAACTGGTGAGGCGCTGGAGGAAACACCACTGCAGCAGCTGAGCACTGGGTGAAGGCAGCCAGGACTCACAGCAATGCCCTCCTGGACTGGGTACTGCGGGGGGATGTACTGTACCACTGTAGCACCATGGAAAGTTATGGGCTGGTTAATGCCAGTGAAGACAAAGGACTGTCCACTTGCCATCTGGTCAAGGTCTGACACATTTTCCTCTCTTTCTTTGCAGGGCTTGCATGTAAGCATGTTAAATTTACAAACAGCAATCAGGATAAAAGTCACCCCAACAGACAGCAGAATAGGTCCTAGTAACTGAGTCCATTCCAGATGAGTAATGCCATCGTATTTTATCCATCCCATCACAGTGAAAGTGATCCCCACCAGGCCCAAAAACACACCTGAAAAGAGCAAAGTAGTGCCGGCTTTATCCCCATCTGACACCAGGACATCAGATCTGTTTGGCTGATAAGGAGTGACAGAAAAAACATTCAAGGAGAAATCTTCTACGTTGTTGTTGTTCTGCTCCATTACGGAGTATAAACTGTTTTCTGCCTCAAGAGAAAGGGGGCTTGTAAGGGACACAACAGAGCATTTAAAGTCAAAGGTTCAGGTTAGTTATACAAGAACTTTGTGCGTGTATGGTTAACAGAGTCTATCATGTGAAAGAATAAACTTTGCTTAGAAGAATAAAGGTCTGGGAAGTGAAGCCTGAAGCAATCACTAAAGACTTCTGGAATTACCATTGCTTTCGAAATGGCTTCACCCTTGCATGGCTGCTTATCTCTTTGTTTATCCTCTTCCTTAATTTGGTACCCACTGATACTTCCTCGCTGTGCCCAGGCCAGATGGGAATGCAAGGAAGTTGCAGCCGCTGCAGCTCTTCCTAGGCCCCCTGCCAGCTGATGCATCCAACAGATGGACAGCATATGTTCAGCCAACAGCAGTGCGGCCACTCTTGCTCTCCTTGGGGCACCACCCAAGCAACACAGATCTGCAGCAAAACGTGTGGCCATTGCTGGGAGAGCTTTGCAGTGCTCTGAAGTGTGACATTTATAGCCATGCCTGGATCTCTGTCGCAGCTGGTTCTGCAGTCCAGACCTTCTGTGCTTTAAAAAAGTAACAAAGTAGGCTTTCTGATATTTTTCCAAGTGGGAGCAATGTGTGGGTGGGAGGGTAAATGGCAACAGGGTGGTGAGTGCTGAAAAGCCTGAGAGAGCCACTAGTTGTGGGAGAAAAGTTATTTCAAGCCAGCCAAAGCTTTCCAGCTGTTTGAAGGTAACATGGTTGCTCTGTAATTTCCCCTTAATTGTGGACATTTTTTGCTGTGGGATCTCCAGCCCCTCCTCAAAGTTTATACTAATAAAACCCACATGCCCTGAATAGCGCACCACTGCAGGAATGAGAAAGCATCTCCTGTAATGGTAAACCTGGTAAAGCAAGGGATATTATCCCGTACTCAGAAGGACCTAGAATATTTTTTCACATCACAATGAATTATTCTGTTGAACATGTGCCCCATATATTAAACAGACAGATGAATGCTGAGATTTTCTGTTCCTAACAATTTCAGAGTAAAATCATTGAAGCGTTCTGGTAGAACGTCTTTGTGTAATTCCTTAAGGAGGAAAAATCTCCAACTACTCAGTCAGTTCTGAGTAGCATAGCAGGGGAGTACATGCAGGACAGGGATTACTCCTCAGGTGGCAGAACGTATGATGCTATTCCCTGCTAACAGCAGCTCTAGAGGAGCAAGCTTCTCCTGAGATTTATAAGATAAAGATAGTTATAGAACTAGAAAACTCACCTTTCAGACTGTTGCTTCAAAATCAGTAAAGGTGCCCACTGTGCGTTCCTATCACACAGTGTGGCAACAGCTCACTTCTAAAGGGGGCTGCTCACTGAATTTGGTGCCTTCAGAACTGACACTGAATGCAATTGCAGATGTGTCTTTCTCATTTGTTAGCAGGTAGACCTTGAGGAATATTAGTGCTGAACTCCTTTGAAAAACATCAGGGAAGTTTCCAAAGTCAGTATTATGTATCTTCTATTACTGAGGGTTCCAACAAATTTCCTGACAAATACACTTAAGATTAGCCCTTCCCCCAGCACCAAGTCTAGTCACGACCCTCTGCACCACTTAAGTGAAGTGTTGGGGCATGCAATACAGTAGTTTCATATGATAACTAAATTAGAAAGTGCTAAAATACTAGATAAGTTGTCATTGCATTGGTAATTATAGCCAAAACCTAAGTCACTTTTAACCTTGTATTTGGTAAACTTAATAGAATGAACTTCTGTTACTGCTTTCTGCAAATCAGGTTTTTTTTCATACCATGAATCATTCTTGTCGCTGTTTGCTGAATCTTCCGGGCTTTCCAACATCCTTTTAAAAGCAGCATTATATCATAATAGCTGTCTAATGGTATATACAGATGTAGTGTCACCTTCCTCTACCCATTCATTCAAGAACTTTGCAACTGCTATTTGCAACAGGACTGCGCTGGAGTACTTCCTTGGTCCTGTGCAATGGTCCTTAGATGCTGTCTAAAGTCAGAGGTTTCCAGGTCAGGTGTTGCATCATGCCACGGCTGATGCTCTTTGCCTCTGGCCTAGGACATGACGTCATGGTTGTTAGGTAAGTGCACAGCAGAGCTGGAGAATACAGCTGGCTTCTCCCAAGGCTACTTGTCACTCAAACTTTCAAAACGGGATGGAAAACACTTTCTGTTTGGTGCAGTAGTATCTAAATTAAAATTACACCTCTCCCTGTAAATTTCCCCCTCTTTGTAAGATATAATTTCCTCTAAGGCTCCCCACATTTCTCCTATTATTTCCCCAGACTGTGGCAATGCTGCATTGAGGCAGCTGCCAAGGTCTTAAGAGATTACCGGATCACAATATTTTTTAAGGCCAGTACTTTCCTTTGCCAAGTAAGTGTACGTTCTGGGAACTTACTCAAAGGTGCTGATTTACTAAATGCATCCCTTTTACCTGGAATAACTCCTAATCAAATGAAAACAGTTTTGTGAAACCTGAGGAACTGGTCAGAGTGAGTTTTTCTGAATGGGTGTGGTTCTCAGATCTCACTACAGTTTTGTTCCCATTTGCTTCAGGGACCTTACCCCTGAACACAAGCAGTGCTTTGCTTTCTTTTAAACCACTACATAATTTTCTATCACCAATGCAGACTTCCCCTGCAGTGCTTCCTATGGGAGGCAGGTTTTCTGTAATGCTCTGCACCTGCTCAGTTCTCCAACCTGTCAAGAGTCATCCTAGTAAACACTGACAGGCCTTCACTTAATCCTTTTCTCCTCTCCTTCTGCAGTGAATTTCTACATATTTGTTCACATTATCAGCATGCTGAAGTCAGGTTTTATTTTCCTACATGCCTGCAATATTGTCAGGGACTTAGACATAGAACATGCAAAAGATGTCATATAAAAAAATAAATTATACCACGATACTGCACACTGACTGGCTTAAATGAGTAGGTACAAAATATCACTCCATAATGAGATGTTCAATTGTAGGGAGATTAAGGAGTTAATGATTAGACTAAGAGAGACTTTTTCCTAAAGGCGACTGTATGTGGCATCTTTAGTGGAAAACACAAATTATGCATGTAAGAGCAGTAGCTAAGGAACCATCACAAGTGGGCTTTGCACCTAGGGGTCCTGTACCACTGCATTGCCAGTTTCAAAATGTAAATAGCCTGCAAGGAGCAGGTTCAGGCAGCTGCCCACCTTTGCTTCTACCCACAAAGTGGTTTTATATGCTCCCAGGAAATGCTGTCTTGTCAGCAGGCACACCACATAGAAGGTATATTCATACCTAATTATCCAGACACATATACGTGTGATAGAGGGAGAAGCACAGATCTAGATGAAGGCTGACATGTTCACTGCAGAAATGTGGAGGCATTGGCAAAAAATGTCTGCCTGGACACAGAAACACCCCATGAGCCATGACTCTGAAGAGGTAGGATGGAAAAGGGATAGATGGACACAGCGCTACCAAACACAAAGGACAAGGATGGGGAGGGTGCATTCCAGTGAGTGCTGCTATCCTAAAAACATAGCATCATTGCAGACATAGAATCATGGAATGTATTGGGTTGGAAGGGACCTTCAAAGACCATCTGGTCCAACCCCCTGCAGTAAGTAGGGACAATGTTACTAGATCAGGTTGCTCAGAGCCCCATCAAGCCTGACTTTCATGCAATCTATTTTTCAGATGAGTCAGCTTTCCATTTTTTTCAGCTGCTGGTGATGAAGGAAGAAAGACTTCTCCTAGAGAAGAGGCATCCGTTTACATTTTTGTGAATCCCTCTCATATCCAAAGGATTGTAGTGTTGCAGTTAGAAGCAGAGTAAGGTCAGTGCAGGCAGCAAGGAAGAGAAACTTCAACTTTACTTACTAAGGATAAGCAACCCTTACCTCGCACTTTGCCTGTTTAAGTAAGTGTGAATCAGTAACCAACTTGATTTGATCCCTTCCATTTGTATGTCAAGCACTTAAGCTAACCTTAGGGCAGAAAGGGGGTTATAGCACCATCAGTGTGACAGTAAAGTATCTCACTTCCTCAATAAAAATGCTATTGCCTATTATTTTAAGCTACTTTTATAGTTTTACAAGGTGTTGCTTCCTTTCCAATACAGACATTTCACTCCAGCTCCCCACATCAAAAATTCTTCCCACTAATGCAGTTCATCCAGTGGCAAGCTTCAGCAGTGGAGGCAGATCTGCTAGGTTCCTATTCACGTTTTCTAACCTTGCTGAAACAGATTTCGACAACATAGTAAGCAAATACTGTTGTCTTGGCTATGTTAGCTCTCTCAGTGCTGAGCAGGTTACAGAGATGCACCCAGCACAACCACTGAGTTTTCAAGTAATGATTCTCCAAGTCAAAAACAGAACATGCTAATACAGCTGTACATTGAACTATTTCCTAAACACCTTCTCAAAATGATAGAGAAATTCTTTTTTCAATCCTTATTTTCAGAGGTAAGTTACACCTACCCTTTCCAGGAAATTCAGGTGCTGACTCCAAAGAGCCAGGTCAGTTGCTTTCTAGACTATGCCTTCTGTGAGGACTGCTTTTTTAGAAATAAAGTGATCTACACTGGAGACTGCAGTAGAAGATCAAAACACAATGACCTTGAAGAAAAACAGGATCGTTTCAGTTCCAGAGGAGTCAGCTCTGAGTTAGCACATTATTTTTAATAGTCTATTTTATTTTTTTGGTCTCTTGGGTACATCTTGGGAACAACTGAGTTGGCAAATTGCAGGCAGCACAAAAGGTTAATACCTTTACAGTTAGCAATCAGACATGACTATTTTTTTTAAAGATGGTGACAAATGTCAAGATTTGTTTAGAGTAAACTCCTTTCAATGTTTAACCTCTTCAGCAAATGAGTGTTCATTTGTAACTCAAACAACAGAACAAAGCCAACATGGGTCTTTGTTTGCATGGGTAAAATAGCCCAGCTTCCATACTTGCTATATAACAGCATGACAAATCCAGAGACA